CCTGCTGATGAGAGTGTGTAAAAAGCAGAAGCTACTGCTCACGCCATTGATCAAACACATGCCCAGCCATTGTAAAATTCTGTTCTGAACAGGCCTTCAAATGAGTTTGAAAACTGTTCATCTGATACGGTTTGTGAACAAATGTAGTCATCATTTCTTGCTGTTATCATGGGAAATTATGTTGTCAAAATGCCTTTGTAATGGGAAATTTAGAGAATTCATGTGTAATTCTTTGGATCTTGCATTCTAGAATATTGACTTTTCACCTATTTAGACCTGTGAATCCTTAAATTTTTGCAGTGGAAATGTGCATCCCTGGTCAGCCAACTTAAGCTTACAGAAAGTAAGTTTTAATTTCTTTTAGTCTCAGGAGCCTTTCATGGGTCCCCTCATAAGTAATTAATAGTCTTTCAAATGTGAAAACCACAACATGTAGCTGGATTTCTGATTTACAGTATCACAAATCTGTGTGCAATGCTTAATATTTAACTATTTGGAGATAGTTGAGGTTACAGGGTATTTCTGATTTAGCAGAGTGATACAAAATATACTGAAAGCACACTGCAGATGTAAGTTAGACTTAAAAAAATAGAACAATTGCCGTACACTGCTCAATCACGATGACGTTGTGATTCCCATTACTTGTCTCTTGAATATGCTCACCGTCATGACGCTGGGTGTCCCCAGTCACCAGTAAGGCATACATGGGTTGAAGCCAGCTCAAGCCCATTGCTCCCTTCAAAATTCTTTTGCTGATTTAGTGTTTATACTCTCTGTTGGGTTGAGCCACATACTCGCTCCCTCTATGCTGGCCTGGCTAACTCAGGGAGAAGAAAGTCCCACACTACAGAGGGACTATGTCATCATATTCTTAAAACTTTATTTCCTAAGGACAAGAGATCAGCCATGTTACTGTTCAGTCAGAAATCTGACTATATATTATTTCGATACTGTCATCTTTGAAGTCAGCACTGGCCCTTTCACTGAACTTTATGCTTCTAATAAACCTCAGAGGAGACCTAGTATTAGTTTTTCAACTAAGTCATTGGTGATATAAATAACATATATGATGGGCTTTTTCTGTGCCTGCAAATTGAACAAGTATACCGCAATATTTATGTGACTGTACTGGGCAGGGGCAAGGGCAGCAGGCTTTCTGCAAAAACATGGGAAGACTCAGATCCTGGCTCTTTCAGACAAAATGAATTAATACTGATTTTCAGCAGCAGGTTTAAATACCTCTGCAGAGGTTGTGCCTCAGTGTTAAAGCCAACTGAATATAAAGACAATGCAGGCATTTAGTATTGAAATAGTTTGCAATATTCAATAGCAGAGGGAAAACTCAGGCTAAAATGTTTCACATTTCTCTTTCACAGTGGTGAAATGATTTAATATCATTCTAAATGGAGGGAATTACATTAAACCGTCATTGTAGTTGTCTGAATATGGATACTTAATATTAGTGGGTTTTGCAAGCGTTTTCATTACTGCAGCATGTTCAAATAGCACAGAAGTTTCTGTTTTCTGTTCACACTCCCCCCTTGTTTTTCTCTGTATAAGCAAGGTTAGAGATGGTCAGGACTGAGTGTGTGGTGCATGATGCAGTAGCACTCGGCACAGAAGGGAGATACAGCATAGGTAGCATCCCCACTTTTCCTTTTTGCCCCTCGGACTGGATCTGCCAGATCCAGACCGGACTCTATTTTAAACCAAGGACAGGTAGTTTCAATGGAATGTCATGTCAAGCAAACAGAAGGTAGCATAGACATGGCCTTAGATTTTTTCCCCTGCTTTCCAAATCAGAGTTATTTGATTGTCTAAGAAGCACTATACATCTATCAGGACGTTATTAGTGCTCTCCATGCTAGATTTTTCTACCTCTGTGCTTTCTGTACTGCATGTAAGGGGTAGAAAGCTGAAGTGGTGTCCAGAGTGCTTGCTGAGGCAGAGAAATGAGAACCTGCGGGCGCTGGGGCTGGGGGAATGAGACAGAAAGCAAGAAGAAAAGCAACATAGTTATTCAGGTTGAAATCTCAGATGTTAGCTGCCATTGTTCTGTCTTAGTAAAAAAGCAGAAAACTCGGTTTGGTTTTCTGTGAGTACGTGGCTGAATTATAAGAGCTGGGGAACATGGGATGATCTGTCTGTATTCTTGGGAACTGACAATGAATGTGTGAATGTACTGTGATGAGGGGGTTCCCCTTTCAGAAAATCAAAAGGGGACTGTTTCCTTCTCCTTGTGTTACATCTCATTCAAGGAGTAGTTCTTGTAGACTACTGCATTTTATTAACAGGAGTAGCTCTGCCCTGTGTCCTTGTCAGTGCGAAGGGAGAACTGGAGGGTTGGTATTACAAGAACTCCAGTTGTGACTTAATGTCGTTTTTTTCCACAACACCTTTGTCCTTTCCATCATCTCACTTTCATTTAATTGAATGTTACAAAATTAAGTGGAACTATTATAAGGTGATTTTTTTTAAAGTGATAATTTTCCTTTTCTCCTGAGTGATTTATTAATTAGGACATTAATTTTAAAAACTGCTTATGTTTAATTAAACAACTCCATGTTTCAATGATTTATAAATGTTAATTGGCACACTTTTAACTTTTCAGTCATGATGATAACCACATTAATCCCTAATATCAAAATGTAAAGGAGATAATCAATCTGTGATAAACCAGATTATCAGTAACTTCACTCCGTATGACAGCAGAGGACTATCCAGTCATGTCGGGTTATACAAAGCATTCAGCAGCAGCAGCAGCCAGTAACTGAAAGCCTCTGGAGTATAACCAGGTTAAATAGCACTGGACAGATCCACATCAACAACATGCCAGTTTGATTTATGGAAATGCAAGTGGCATCGAGTAATCATCTGTGCCATGCAAATGCTAGTGACCGTTCAGTGCCGTGGTGGCCCTGGGACGCTCAGCCGAGCGTGGAACCCTTTGCATCCGTGCAAAGCGGGCGCAGATTGCTCTGGTGCCTGGTCCATTAGTGTTCCTTGTGCATGCTGTGTGGCTAAACAGAGCAACAGTAAATCAGGATCCTGGTAGTACAGGAAGGCATCGGTGTTTATGCTTGGGATGAGGATGGAGGGCAGGTTATATTAAAAGAGCAAGTAAGGTGTTTATAGAAGGGATAGCGCTTATAAGATAACAGCCATTAGCAACCATTCAGAGGGCAGAGTTTATCACAGACAAAAAACAAAGCATTGACACAAAAGAACTTACCTGTGGTTTAGAAGTCAATGTTTCGTTTTTATGAAAAATAGACATATTTTAAGACCTCCACAAACCACTTCTATCCCACTCCTAAAACCCTGCTAGGCACTCTTAAATATTTAGGTCAATAGATTTTGCTTACATACCCCTCTCGACCCCATTATTTTTTTTTATGGATAATAATAAAAGTTTTGCTAAATCCCTCTGAAAACTACTGCAGGCTAAAGGAACTGGAGAAGTTCTTGTTCTAATTCATGTTAGTCCAGTTTTGAGACTTCAAAATCCTTTAGAGAACTGGATGTCTGTATTCCACCTACACAAAATTCATGCAAAATAAGGGAGATGGGGAAGAATTCTGCTTGGGATAATATGGCCCATCCGATGGTGGCCAGGTTACAGCGTGGTCAGCACCCGTTGTCCCACCATTCAGGGCAATGAAACAGGAAAAATCAGTAACAATCCTCACTTGTTTACAGTGAAGCTGAGCTGAATTCATAGCTATTAATTTTCTTCTTTCCTCATTCTCAAGAGCTCCCTTTCCTCTCTCCCCTTTCTAATTTCTAAACTGTGAGCCTCTTCTCCAACTTGAGGTCTTTCAGTTTTCCTTTCAAGTCACACATCATCTGCTTTCCCTTTTAGTTGCTTGCACCTTTTTTCTGTCTTCCAAAAATCTTCTCCTGCCTGTATTTTTATTTTTATAACTTTTCTCCTTCTCCATTTTTGAGACTTCTATATATTTCCATTCTCACATTTTCAGTTCAGCATTATTAAACTGTGGAGGGATCTATCAATCAACTGGTTAAAACAGAGAAGTTACTGTATAGTTAGTAAATAACACCGTAAGTTTGCTACATTCTTGTCATGCCTACTATCTCTAATCAGTTTATAATTTCCTTAGCTGTACTCATTCAAAATTACTGAAGGAATAATTTAAGCAACAGCTTAATATTATGATTGGTGGTTTGAAATTAATGTTGTATCACTTACCTTGAAAGCTACTTGTGTCACTCGATGTCATTTCTCCTATCTGATTGAATTAATTTAATTCTTAGAACTTGACATTGGCATCTTTTATTATCTGAGAGAAGCTTATTCCCAGTTTGAATGCCTACATTAAAGAGAAGTTAAACAGCACTTCTCTGCAGAGGGTGAATTTTGACTCTCAGTACGTTGGAAGATAAAATAAACCAAAACCCAAACCCACTTCATTAACACTCACATAAATGTCTTCAAATCTTTGTTTTGTAGTATGATCTATTGCTTTCATTCTACCTTTTGCCTTATGGATAAACCATAATGGTTAGTTGATTCAATCCTATGCTTAGTCTGGCAAGAAAACAATTAAAGAAAACACTGCCTGGAACCTCATTTTAAGCTTAAAAAAATCAGGAGAGGGGGAATTTTCTGTCTGTCTAGGGCTGTACAGGTTCTCTTAACTTGGTTAACTTCCTCCCTGTGGTTCCCAATCACATTTCTTTATCTTCCAGGTGAGCCTAAACGCTGTATGAAGTCAGAAGATATAGTGAAAGTCACTGAGCAGAAAGAAGCACTGATACACAACTAGATTTGCTATTTCTTAAAAGCTTCTGACATTTCAAGCAGGACAGGTAATTTTGTCATTTCTTTCTTATAATGCAGAGAGTTTTATACCATAAAGACTTGCTTATTGCTATTTTCATTCTTTGCTCTATTCCAGTTGTGATTTTATAACAAAATTTTTAAATGGTGGCATGGTACACCCCACTTTTGATGTCCCCTTAAAAGCCATTCAGTATAAAGAAGGGAAAAAAAATACTTTTACATCTCTGAATACTTAATGTCAGACTAATTTGTCATGAAGTAAAACATCCTCAGTTAATGGATATTAAATACTGGAAGCAATAGTATTACAAAACTATTCCTTATGAATTTTCATTTGACCTCTGTTGCAGGAGAAAAGAACTCCTCTAGCTGTTCCTATCCTGTGCTCTCAGAGGCTGTTACCTGTCAACTTGTTCTTGGATCATCGTGTTTCTGTGGAGAGGGATTGGACAAATTTATCAAAAGTCTAAAACATAAACCCCTGAGCTGGTGACTCACGGCACTTAACAACTCACAAGATTTCAGTTGTATTTGTTGTTGCTATTTCCTCTTCTATTCTGCTTTCTTAAACTGGACAAAATACTTTTTTCAGCCAAAGTTGGACCTCGCTTTATTGTGTCACTGACACCAGACATTTCCAGTTAACCGTGAGACATGTGAAAACACAACATTTATCATCTGCCCAGGATTGGTGTTATGTATCACTGCTACTGGCATCCCATGGAAATGGAAAGTCAGAATGATATAGATACTTGTTCATGCAACCATGCTGCATGCAACATTAGAGTCCTATTTGTCAGCTTCCTTAGAATATCTGGAAATGAAAATATGTAGACTGTACAGGGTAGTTGTAGAGTTAGACTGACCAGCCTGCGTGGATGATGGTTCTTCCCGACTTGGGGGGCTGCCATATGGAGAGAACTGGTGTTTAACAAATCTGTATTCAAAGTATCTCTTTAAAATTAATGAAATAGCATCCAGCATTAAAGATTAAAACATTCTCTGTCCTTTAGTCTTTTGGAAGACATGAGCAGTGGTTTCAGCCCTACCATGAAGCTGGTGCTTATTGTTTTGTAGGGAGGAAGTGACAGCTACAGAAATACATGAAAATTGCTTCATTTCAGCAAAATATCGTGTTGCCTCTCAGACAGAACTGGAAGGTGACACTGATGCCTTATAATCACGGTTTGTTTCAAATGCAAAGATGTCAACATGGGTCCTGCAAAATCCTTGCTGACATTTGTTTTGCTAAAACACCAGATCATCATTCTCTGAGAGGCAGCAAAAACTGAGCATGCAGGCAGTTACCTCTGCAAAAGGCCTCAGAATGAGTCCTCCAGCCTGAACTGTGCCCAGAAAGAGACTCTGTTTTCATCTCCACTTCCTTCGTGCTGCATGTGACCTCTCCTGGCTCGCCCAGGCATCCCATGCACTGCAGCCAACCTCATTTCCCTCTGCTGGAACCTGCCAGGAAACTTCCATGCTCCTCTTCGCGTTGTGGGCGCTTGGGTGGCTCAGGTCGCTGCACTCCCAGTTCTCCTTTTCGGACCCTGTGGTTATTACCTCACAGACCAAAAAGTCTTTACAATCCACCATGGTCCGCTCCGAAGAGGACCTGTGGTGGCAGTGGCACTCCCCGCTGTGTGGAGGCCGACGGACGATTGAGACCTCTGTGGTATTCATCTGCTGCTTCAGGGCTCTAACCAGAGCTCAACAGGCATCAGGTTCAACCTCAACAAGGGCACGCCTTGTCCCGACCGAAGTAGGAATCGTAGAAGAGTCACCCTGGGCTGAGGGACCCCTACACGTCCAGACCTGTTGACTTGTCTCTTTTCTGACAGCGGACCAATTGCAGTTGAGCTGGGAACAGTGCAAGCTCTGAGCCCTGGGATAAGGGCATGCCAAAAGGTGGAATTCCTGTCATTGAATATGTAAGCCATATACATGCTATGCATACGTAGTGTGCATAGTTCTAACTTAAGAAATGTTTGTGCATATAGGATGTAAAAAGTGCATTTAAATTGTTTTGTGTATCTGGTCCAGGGCTTGTATTTAGCATGGACAAATTTCTGTACAGTGCAGTTACTGAATGAAATGTTAACAAATGAAATTGTATCATATATGTTATAACGCAATCGATATTTTTTGCTAAGAGTTAAGAATTTATATATTCTCTGCTAGTGTTTGAGCAAATCATTAGTAGCCTGGACCACTCTGTGCACCTTTGCATCCTTTTTGGGACTGTTGGACTCTTTTTTTTTTTTTTTTCCTCTTTATAATGTAATGTAAACCATCTTATGGCTTCTTATTGTCATCATGACAAGAGAAGAAACATAATGGTCATATCAGACTTCTTTTAAATTGTAAATTTCCATATGCTGTGGCAGTGGACAATCTTCTTGTTTAAGATCTGAGAACCTGGGACCTTATTTCAGATATATTGAGCATCTGCAGTTCCCACCAAATTTGAAAAGAACAAAAGATGACTGAAACCTTTAAAAACTAGGCCACTTAGATATGTGTTTGTTACAGAGTATTCTTCAACATTATAATTTATGGTTCATTGAGACTGAAAGTCTGGATCGATCAGAATTTAACGTTCTTATTGCATTTTCAATTTCAGACTTTTACCACAGTTGAACTTGACTTTTTTTTTTCTGTGTCTCTATCCCATTGTGATTCATATACTCTGCAAGGATTTTCACCTGGAAATACAAGCAGAAATTACAACAGATTCTGCAGAGTACTTGGTGCATCCTGTGGGGCTCTCAGTGTCCTGCTATTACAGCCAGCACCAAGATCTCCCACTGCAGAAAGTAGAAGGAGCTCCTGATTTCACAGGAGGCACTCAGTGCTTGCAGAATTCATTCATTAATATAGATATGTGATTTGTATATAAATAATTCTACTTGCTCATTTGTATTCAGTTTTAATCACTATGGTGTAGATGTTACTGAAATACAAGAGGAGACCTTAGTTTTTCTTTCATGCCAGCTGACTCTCTTTCTTTCTTCCTTTATTCTTAGCAAGATTTTACCTGGACATGACCCAAAGCTTAGTGTGTTGTTTGGATGAGGACAGATTTCCTTTGGTGAAGACTGATATAGCCAACACATGCTAGTTAAGGCTTTGACCTTGAGTGAAATGCAGGTTCGGATGGCAGAAGGCTTCTTGGGAGCTCAGGCCTCTCCCTGAACAATAATTTCTCTCTCAAACCTGTAAGGCTGCGCTACCAAAACACTGCATGGGGCCATAAGAAATGGTATTTGTATATGCATCTCTCCCACAGCATTATGGGCATGTACCCCTGCATTGAGCACACTGAGGAGCTGTAGCTATAGATTAGCCCTCAAGAGTTTTATTTCGTATTTTTATCTTGAGATATCTGACAGATATATCATGTAAGATTGTTATGGGTTATGATCTAGCCAGTATTTTTTTATTTAATTCTCAACAAGGCAGTCTACAACTGTGTGTTTTTATTCTGCTGTATTTGTCCGTATTTCCTATGATGATATTCCCAAATAAATTTGATTTGAGGGCAAGGATTGTGAAGCTCCTGAATGTTAGTTACAAATTTGCTTTACTGAAATGTATTTGCTCATTTGTGTATGGTTGTCTTTCAAAACTGACAGAGCATAAGTGGTTGTTTCCAACCCTTTCACCTGCTTGTGACTCCACACGTTTTCCATACCTGTGCTGTGTGCCATACAAGCTCACTCCCATCTTCAGAGTGCTCTTAGGAACAATTTCTTTAAGCAAATCTTGCCTTCTTAGCCTTTACTGCTAAAATAGTCCTCACGTGAAGAAGAAAACCATAACCAATAGAACATTTTTTTACCCCAAAAAATTTTCACTGTGGGTCTGTACTGATGGAGTCTCTGGGACTGTTCATGTTAGCAGCAATTCCTCTGGAAAGGTACAACTTTCAGAGGCACCTCCATGGCATGGTGTAAATTTAATCAGACAGGTTCTGTGGAGCAGGGAGTAAACAGGACCCCTTCCTTCTCAAATTGAAAATTAATTGGAAAGAATCCCATTGCCCTAGACATGTATCAAATCCTAACAAGGTAAATGATGGAAATAAATTGAGACAACTATTTCATATCACATTCTTTGCAGTTTGTTTTTCCCAGATCCTACCCCAGCTATGTGCACAAAGGACCTTCTTCTGTTGTATAGATGCCAGAAGCCAAACAAGCCACTACTGTGACCGAAGTAACTTCAAATTTACAAATAAATCAAGATTCCCAGTGGTAAGTATCTGAAATGTGTATTTTTAACAGACTAAACAGTTATTACATGAGAAAGGGGGAGATGTAAGTGTGACTAACATTCTTCAACAGCAACTTAAAGAGATTAAGATTTACAGTAGTTTAGCAAACAAAGGGAGAGTTATAAAGCTGTCTCATCGTCACGTGGGGCCTAATGCTGATGCACTTATAAGCAGCACTCTGAACCTGCAAGAAGGACTTTCATTAGGGCAAGGCTTTGGGACTTGTGTCTTAATACCATGGACAAACATCAAATAACCTTGAAGTATTTGCTATCTATTTGTATAAAGACTCATATGATTATTTTCATCCAAATTCAATGAGACAAAGGGTAACATTCACCTATGATCCAGTTGCATGAAAGCCAAGAGAGCTAGTGGCATTATACCAGGAATTAATTTGGTAATTGGATGGTAATTATTTTAGCATTTCTGTCACAGAAAGACCCCTTTTCTGTTAGGCACAAGGTGGTTTGGGGTAGGGCAGAACTGTGACTGCAGCCAGAGTAGTTCTGGGGGGCATGTGTGTGTTCTCAAGTAAATAGCAGGCACAGAAGCAGGGCTACAGAGTTGATATTTCCAGTAAATTAGAGAATAAAAATGGCATGAGCAGTTTAAATATTATTTATCATTGACCTTCATGTCTGTTTTTAATATTCAATCTGCTGAGTGTTTAAAAAAAGCAATTAAAAGTCCCATATAATGTTAAA